GAGATTTTTTTATTTTTTTTTAATACTACTGAGTCACAGATGATCAAATTACATATCTTTTAAATGTAAAACTTTTACAAATATGCTATCTTCCCAAACAAAAGTATAAACAAATCATTTAAAAACGAGTGATAAAAAACAATACAATTTAGAAATTAATGATAAAAGTAAACCATAAAAAGAAATTAGTGAAAAATTAGTGACTGTGCAACTATAAAAAGAAATTTATCTATGGACCGAGTAATTTTTCAATATATTTACTACTAACATAAAAAAATAGCTTACCATGCTAGCCTAAAACATTGGGAATCAAATTGTACACATATATATATATAGACGTCTTGTGGCTCAATGAAGAATACAACTGTGAAACATATCCAAAACGTTGTAGCTTTAGTAAAGCCCAATAACGAGCCCATAAAGGTTCAATTTAGAAATAGCCTGAAAATATGGGAGAAAAAAAAAGCTTCACTGAGCTCCGAACCTCGTCCACAACTCTTCGCCGCCAGCGAGCCGTCCTCCTGAGGTAATCCTCCTTTTCCAACTGCTAGTTTTGTGAGCTATATTCTATTTATTAACAGCAAAGTTTCTAATTCATGCTTCTATATATATGTATTGCTCTCTAATTAAGCAGAAAGTATTATCGTGTTCCCTGATTTTTTTTGGAACAGTTGATGAATGTAGCACTGACTGTTATTGCGACTGAAGATTTTATTCGCCATTTTCCTTCTTTTTCGTTTTTGTCGCTTTGCTTCATATGTGTAAGTATTGGTGATTTTAAGTTTTTTCAATGTGTAATCACCTTTAGTATGGGGCAATAGCTGCTTCATAAGCTCATATAACAATAAGCAAGTTTTCAGCATTAATATGCTTTCTGTTGTTGCTCAGTTATGTATGTTGTTAGGCAGGCATAACGGTTATGCAATCATACTTTTTCAACGGATATCCACACTTTCAAATTGAAATGTCATACTCTAGAAAACAACATAAACAATGGAATGGAAGTTTGTAAGTATACACTTTTTCTAAAAAGAAATGACGGCTCGACCCACCTAATAGTTAGACTGCCTCATACAAGAATTGGTGATTATACATGCATTTTTGTTGGTCTTATTTCATGCCGTTAAATTTGTTGTTCGATGAACGCCTATTTTCAAGAAATCTGGAAATTATCAAAATATGAGAAGTTGTATGAAGCAGGATTCGGCATATGCAATTATCATTCAAGTGAAATAAATACAAGTAGAGGCATTGGTGTCTTAGGGAGAATCATCTTAAAGATTTTCTGGCATCCGGGTTTAGCTTTAGTTTTCAGGGCTTTCTGGAAGTTTTTGTAGTTACAATTCTATTTATTTATTTTTCAATTTTAAGATGTACTAATGGTTTGTGCTCCCTTAAAGCTGAAATTTAACTACCTGTGATCACCTTTTCTTCACACTATAAAATTTCATGTGCATAGGGAAAATGCCACACAAAACCCGACCTATGACTGCACTTTTGCTCTTCACTGGAGTGAATGTTGTTCTGGTGTCAACAATTGGCCCTGTCTAGTGTCTATGATTTTGTTTGCTTCCTTCCATACTGGGTTATGAGAGTATGTTTCTCACAGTTGTTATGCTTTCTCCGTTGCTGTTAAATTCTTGATAAGGGGTAATAATCATTTCATTTGGAGTAAATTTGTATGAATTTTAAACTCCTTTTATTTGCACTGATTCCTATCTTTGGCTATAATCTACCTTCTGCTCTGCTAGTCCACAGTACATTTTGCTAATTATTTTTTCTGGCATTTCTGTATATAACTATGTAGAAATTTTGATTTTATATCTGACTGATTGATGAAAGTTCTATTAGTTTTTGATGGCTCTATTGCACATCTTCTATATCAGCCTGATGTAAGTTTTATTAGTTTGTGACGAGCACTCACTCTATTGCACATCTACTTCTATATCAGCATAAAAGTGTTATTTACTTGAATCCAATTTCATATTTTTTTGCTGTGGCATTGCGCAATTCCTGCTTGTGCAACATTAGAAACAATCTTTGTGGTGGTATTAATTTGTAAATCAACGTCAGTGGTACAAAATTTATTTCCATTTTTAATGTCTTTTTTCTCTCTTTCTCTTTGTTTTCTTGTGCTGATACTGGTACACAGAGAGAACGTTGGCACCTGGAACGTGAAGCTGCCTCTTCCAAAGGTTTAGCATAATCATAAAATCAAGGGTATATCGTAATTTTTGAATAATAAATTGGGCTTAGTTTACGATTATTATTATAAGCTCATGATGCATCTGATGATGTAGGGATAGTTGTAAATGTTTTTGTGTTATATGTCCTAGGAGTATACAGTAATGCAAATTATATAGCCTTTCATTAAGATGCTTGATTGTATCCTGTGAAATAATTTAGCTACTGTGTTTCTGATGGTGAAAACTTTCCGTTCTGATCCATATATGATTATGAAAGCTTTTATTGTTATGGTATTGTGGAGATTTTTTTTTTAATGTTCTTAAGTAGCTTCATCATTGAAGCCATACATTGTAGGGCTCAACTGCTCACGATCTGCAAAGATAAATCTTCAATTCTTGGCTTCAACCACTGAACTTTAGTTGGTATATTGTACTATCTATTATAGTTGCAATTTTTTTTGGATTTTATGTGATATCTCATTTTTGTCATTGAACTTCGCTTTGTGAATTTGTCTCCTCTTCGTTTGATGGCTTCCTCTAAGTCGGGTCACTGTCGTCAAAGGTCCCGATTTGTATTACAGGCGGGGTTGGGTGGGTGGGATTGGCATTATGCAACAATAAAGTGGACTATGGGCCTTATTTTGTGTACCATTAGTTAGGATAATATGTCTAAAGGATTTTGTTTCAAATTAGTTTGGGTTGTGGAGAAAACAGGACATTAAGTATTTAATTTTTTAATTATTTATTTATTTATTTTGGGCAAATATAGATCTTTTGTTTTAAGTGGTGGGGAAACCTTTTCCAGTTGAGTCTGCCAGTCTGATTAATTAGGCGTTCCATTCTATCAATTCTACAATGGATATTAGGCGTTGGATCGTGAGATTATGGCACCATATGGGCACCATAGAATTTCTGAAATTAATATAGAAAAATCTAATGGGAACTTGTACTTTCTATTATTGTTGTGGGAATTTCTATTTTCTATTACTTGTGGGAATTTCATGTCAATTTATTTGATTGGTTTTGTATCTGGTCCTA